TAAATGGTGAGTGTGTGTGTGTGCATGTGTATATGGTGTGTATGGTGAGTGTGGGCATGATGAGTGTGTGCACATATGTGACTGTATGTGTACGTACATGCGTGTGTGCAAGCACGTGTGTGTGTGTGTGTGTGTATGGTGAGTGTGCATGTGTGTGTGTGTGTGTGTGTGTGGTGACTGTATATGTGTACATGTATGTATGGTGCGTATGTGTGTGTGTGATGAGTATGTGTATGGTGAGTGTGTGTGTGTGTGTGTATAAATGGTGAGTGTGTGTGTGTGCATGTGTATATGGTGTGTATGGTGAGTGTGGGCATGATGAGTGTGTGCACATGTATGTGTACGTACATGCGTGTGTGCAAGCACGTGTGTGTGTGTGTGTGTGTGTGTATGCTGTGTGTGCAGACTGTGGCAAGGCCAGAGGTCAAAGTCAGCTATCTTCTTCTACCACAATTTATTCCTTTGTGTACGTGGCTATGTTTGTGCATAGATTGTGTAAATACATATATTCCTCTATATGTGCCTGTGTGGAAGTCAGAAGTGAGAGTGTTTTCATCTACGGGTCTCACCCTGGCCCAGAGCTCCTGCTGCAGACCAGCCAAGAAGCCACCGGCCTCGCCTTTCCCCGGGCCCTGGCACTGCGACACTGTTGCCACAGCTTCTTTTCCCACCACCCCAGGGGTCTGAACTTGGGTTACGCAGGAAGCTTTCCCTGACTCAGCCGAATACCGTGTTTTTTCGAGACGTGAGCTGGAAGCTCAGGTCTAGACCGGCTGGCCTGTGGCCTCCTGTGTGGGGTCTGCAGAGTGCGCCACCATGCCCAGCTTTTTACGTGAAGGTTTGGGGTCCAGCTCCGGTTGCCATGCTCGTGCAGCCAGCATCTTGTCCATCAGACCATCACCCATGTTGAGGTCATTCTGCTGACGTTTCAAACCATGCCCTTACTTGAAGCTGAGACCCCTTGGGCCAGAGAGCCAATCACACTGCTGTACAGGCTTCTGGCTCCTCTGGTGGGCAGCACAGGAAGGAGCTCAGAGCAGATTCCAGTCAGCGATGTCTGTTCTCCGGACTTCATTCTTAACCTGGCCACAGGTGCCACCCACTGGCTGCACTGGGAAGGAGTCTCTCCAAGTCTGAGCTACGTGGCTGCCCTCCTGAAAGGAGGTTCATAATCAAGGCACAGTGCCAGCTTCACTCCTGGCCAAGCAGTGCCTTGCACAGAGGTAGAGCTGGAAGCAAATAAATCCATACCCTTCAGGGAAGTTTAAGAGCCAAATGTGAGGGGACCAAATGTTGGCTAAGGCCTCATTCATTCCCCAGGAGATAATGGCGGGAACAAGGGCATTCCAAGTGACAGTGGGCAAGCACACACTCCGAAGAGCTGTGGAGACACAGTGGCCTGACTTAGACATGAGCATAACACTGCTCAGCAGCCAGTAAGAGTTTCAATCCTCTCCACCCTCCGTCCAGTTTCCCCCAGAACGACCCTGTCTGCTTGCTTTTCTGGCTTGAGAACACCTACACTCTACACAGCAGCACGGTAACATCAGCTGCTGAGACTCAGTGTAACCAACGGTGTCTTACTGGTTTACAACAAACTTCGAGTCAGCATCAACCCTTTCCCCAGCTGCACGGCAAGGGATCAGACTCCTGCACATTGCAGCTGCGCGTATATGCACAAAACACATTTATTGAAGTCCAGACATTGCTAGCTCAGCCCTTTGGGTATGCATCCTTCGATCTGTATCTCTGCTGGCCAGCCTGAGTATCTGTTCTTAGATGGATCTGAGTGGTTGATCTGTGAGGGGAAGAAAAGGGTGTCGTTTATCCACTAAGCTCATCAAAACCTGCGGGATCGTGTCTGCTGGGAGCAGAAGTCTCACGGCAGCACTCTCTTTAGCCCAAGCTGAGCTTACATTTCTCAGTGCCCCTCTTTCTTCTCCAGCCCATTCTTTCTGTCATTTCATCTTTACTTCCTGGCTGCCCTCCTTCTATCCCTTTCTTCTGCCTCCCTTTCCTTTCTTCAGCTTCTTTAGCTAAAGAGCATCCTATTCTGTAGTCCAAGCTGGCCTGGAACCTACAGTGCTGCTCCTGCCCTCAGCCTTCCAAGTACTGAGATTATAGACCCAAACTACCACACCCAGGCTCAGTGTCTCTCAATAGCCTTTAAATGCAGCTGTAGTCCTTTCCCAGAGGATGGGGTCTTGTGCAGTCGCCAGCGCGGCCTGATAGGGCAGCCAAGAGCGCGTGAGAACAGCTGCAGCAGTGTGAGCTGGCCCCACATTCTGTTTACTTTTGATCCACGTAGGTGTGCGTTTGGTGTGCATTGCCAGGGGGACAGCTCGTTATCTAGCTCTCAGCTGTGGGGACAGGACCATGCAGTCCAGACTCCACACAGGCCACTGCCAGAGGGCATTAGCACTTGTCACTCAGCAAACATGTATTCACACTGGAGTGGACATTATGACCACATCTTCAATTCTTTCACTGGCAGTGGAGCATCCTAGCCTACTGCCTTTTCTTACACCACAACCCCACTGAAACCTAACTCACATACTGTGAAACTCAACTGCTGACAACATTTACCACATTCCCAGCGCATGCCCCTGTCACCACAGCCACTAAGACATGGCATCACCTGAAAGAGGAGCCTCACACTGCAGCAGCCATTCCTGTCCTTCCCCACCCCAAGCAGCCACTAACCTACTTGCTGTCCCCTTGGATCTGTTCATTCTAGAAATTTTGTCTAACAATGGAAGCACACAACACATCACATCTGCTTTTGCTTGTGTCACTCAGCATAGTGTTTTCAAGAATCTCCAATGCAATCGCTTATGGCAGTTTCAGTACGGACACGGCTGAATATTCCTCCTCGCGGTTAGCCTATGTTGACACCGCCCTCTGGCTGGAAGAGCACAGCTGTGTAAACTTGTACCCCAGTTCCTGAGGGAAGCCATGCTCACAAATAAGCTTGTTGGGCTAAGAGGAACTGTCTCTTTTAATTCGAAGAAATTGCCACTGTTCCTCATTTTACGTCTCTTCTAGCCACTCGAGCATTCGAGGCTCGGCACATGTTCTTCACCAGTTACCTGTCTCACTACAAGTTATGATTACAACCACCACAGTGAGCCTGAGGCTCCAGCTCACTGAGATCTGAGCTGTTTTTGTTGTCATGACTTGGGCTACTAAGCCTCTGTCCACAGTTTATCACCAGTCTGTGTGCACATCTTCCTTGAAGAAGCATCTATTCAGAGGTTTTGGCTATTTTTATTGGGTTATCTTTTTAATCATTGAATTATAAGAGCTCTTTATATATTTTGGACACAAGTCTGTTATTTGCAAATATTTTTCTCCTACAATTACTCTGTGGTTTTCTTCTCACTTTGTAGCTCTTGTTTGAGATAAGATCTCAAGCAGCCCAAGGTGGCCTTGAACTCAACGGTAGCCAAAAATGGCCTGAATTCCTGATTGTTCCACCTCCACATCCTGAGTGCTAAAATGACAGACCATGGTGCCTGGCTGTTTTCTTTCTTCGTGTATAACTTTGGAACAGAAAGCTCTGTAATTCTGAAGCTGAATGTTTTATCTTTTTCCTTTTGCTGTAACACTGCACTCTTCCAGAAGCCCCTGACTAGCCCAGGATGGTGGAGATTTCTGCCTGTTTTGCTATCCTGCTGAGAGAGGTTGGCAGTTTTACCTCTTTAGGTATTTTACCCTTTAGGTGTTTGACTCATTCTGCATTGTTGTATGTGGTGTGTGGCAGGGAACCAAATCCATTTTCTCCCCATGTGATATGTAGTTCCCCCTGCACTTTATTAAAGAAACTATTCACCCCTAAAGAGATAGTCTTGGTTCACTAGACAAAATCATCCGGTGAGGTCTGAGGGAAACCTTGTGGTCTCTGGAACTCTAGCTCTACTCACTCTTATATGCCTGTCCTCACAGATGCCAAGCCATTCTGATGACTGCAGCTTTGGAGTAGGTTTTGAGACCTAAGCCTTCTTCCTTGAGCCCACTTTGGTGTGTCTTTATCCCTTTCCTGCTGGTAAGGATCTGAACTAGCTTGTCCACATAGCCTAAGGAGACATCTGTCTGTGGTATGGGTCATTTGGAGTGAAGGGAATCCTAAATTCACTCTCAGAGTGTGCCCCCAAAGCCAACACAAGTGGGGTATCTCCCCACTACTGGGAGCCAAAGCCAGCTACTGGAAAGTTACCAACAGCTGCAACAAGGTCATGGGTGAGAGATTTATGTTCCAGGAACTTATGAGACATCTGCTTGTCAGGCTAGAGCATCTTGAGATATCTTAGCTAACATTCTTGTTTTCTTTTAGCAAATATTCTTGCGGTATTTTGCATCATAAACCACCCTGCTATCTCTTGTATCATAAACTACTTTGCTGATGCATTTTCCCTTCCTGCCTTCTCCCTATAAAGTTGTGTGAAAATTTTCAAATAAATAAGACCTTGATCACACAGCCTGTCTTGGTCTTCATTCTTCGTGTCTCTTGTCCCACCCCATTCATTGAACCCCCGCTGGTCAGGGCACCCCACTACACAGTCACTGGTACCAAAGGAAAACTGAAGCTTAAACAAAACCATGTGTGTTCTCAGCAAACCTCACCTTGAATCCCTGTGCCCTACTCTCATGCCTGTCTTCCTTCAATCTCTCTGGGCCTAGAGAGCCACCAGCCAGAGCCTCCTCCCTTTGAAGGTGACCATGAGGCCTCCATTGCCCACAGATATTCAACACTGAAGGGCTGGCTTTCTGTGTATAAACTAACCGGGGGTCATGGTGAAAACATGCTTTGACTGGCACATGTCAACCTAATCATGGCCTCCAGGTTCCTGTTTCAGATATGAGGGTGCTCCAGAAGGGACAGGATCTCTGGAGCTAGTAACAGTGACCTAGATGTCACCCTCCTCCTAGAAGAGACTATACCAACCAGAGGAGACTCAGCTGCTCCTGGCTGCAACTGTCTTCTTTAAACCATGATGCCAGACAGTGGAAGCAAAGGCTCAAGCTGAATCATGTGACCTGGTGTAACCCTGGGGAAGGGGCAAGCTCTGCCCTTTTGGAATTCTAGCTAAGCAGGAAGATGGCCTTATCAGAGCTATGGACCTTGTTGGTACAGCCAGTCTCCTCTTCAGGCCCACTTATGTCTGTCAAAAAGGGGTGATGCTCCCCAGAGGCATCGACCTTGCACAGCCATGTAGCATGCCCCATCAGCTGGGATGTTCATTGGAACTTTGCTCACTTCCCTCCTTTGCCTGTTTCTTTGATAAATGAAGGCATCAAGCCACAGATGACTCCTTCAAGGATGGCAATCAGCCAAAGCCACTCTGTCCATGCCTACTTGACAGTTCATCTTAGAAGTGGTTCATATATAACTGCCCCAGGAAGTCCCTCTGTGACTGTGTGAGTGCCACCCCCAGAGGAGGGACTAAAGGAGGTTAGCTCCTGCCCAAACAGCACGGCCACACCAGGGACAGAGACCAATCCCAGCATCCCATTTGCAGACTCCATTGAGACTGAAGGAGTCTGGAATGGAGTGAATGGGCTGCCAGTGCTCTGTGTATAAATGACTGTTGATGAGACACCTCACACCCCACAGCCCTGTCTGAGAGGGAATGGGTAAAACACTCACCTTTTCTCTCTCAATATCTGAAGGGAGCTCAAAGCCCTTTCCTGCAACAAATACCCAACTTGACCTGAACTTCATATTCTTAATTTCTTTGCTTCCAAGGGCTTCTATGGCGTCCTTCGCTTGGGCCTGCAGTCTGGGTCAAAGGAGAAAGCATTAGAAGGCTCCAACAGCTCAGCCGAGGGAGCCAAGGAAGGCTGCAGAAGGAGGGCAAAAAGGCCCAGTGTCCCGAAACAAGTCCACTTTCTAAGCAAGGAGCTCTGTATTTCCACAGGCTCTTTGAACTAGTGGGATGTACTTAGAGAGTCATTGAGTTACATAAGAACTCCTGGTAGATAGTTACGTGTGTTTATATGTGTGCCTGCAAACACGTGTGCATGCATGTGAGCTTGTGTATAAACTTCTGCGTACAAATAAGCAGGTGTGTTTGAGTCTGTGTGTGCATTGTGTGTGAGCCATGAATGTGTGCATGTGTGCACATGTCTCTGTGCGTGAAACGTGCCCTGATGCAGGTGTGGGAGTGGTTTCCGGCACTTGCCGCGACCATTTCTTCCCTTCCCTCATGAAAGCATCTCACTCTCTAGGAGTTGCCAGATCCGGGGCCTTTGCCTTCCTCCTGGCTGGCTGCACACTCACCTGGAGCTCCCATCATCGTGCGTCACCATGAACAGCAGGGATTTCAAAGGGGTGCTCTGAATGAACTTGACCATTGGCCCAGAGTTGTCTGGAGGATCAAGGCCAGACAGCAGTTCAGTCTTCTCAGTGAGGGAGGCTCCCACCCCCCCCCCACCTATTCTGCACCCCCTGCTCCCTCTACTGGTCTCAGGGAACAGTCAGTGCCTCCACTACCTCCTCAGGAGTGCTGTCAGGGGCTCCATGGGAAGCTATCTTAGAGAAGCCCAGGGGACATGGACAACTTGCAGCAAGTACTTGGGGTATAGCAAACAAACAAAGATGGAAACAAGGCAAGCCATACAGAGTGGAAAGCCCTGAATAAATTAAACCTGAACCTGGCTCCAACCCCAGCTTATGCAAGCACCCATTAGCCACCTCTTCCATCAGGAATAAGAGGTCAGTCCCAAGGGTGATGTCCTAGAGCACAGGGCTCAGAACTGTGACCGAACCTACATATGATAAACACATGCCAAAGAGACTCTGCTTCTTCATCAAGCCATGCCTCAGTTTCCCCATGGGGTCTACACAGTCTTCATTTCAATTGGAAAAGGCTTTCTTACCACCTTCGTACATATCAAAGTACTTTGTTGCTATCACCTTCCCAGTCTCATCTGAAAGTAAGAGAAACAGCCTTTTAAGAGAAAGTTCGTGGGACCAAGTGTATGCTGTAGTGCTAGCCACCATTTTGGGCACATTTCTTTTAAGGGACTCTGGAGGAAATAGGATAGAGTGGTCCCTAGCCTGGAGAAGGGATGTGTGATGGGATTATTCTTCCAAACTCTGACCAGAGCAACTCCATCTTATGGTTATCTTTATCCCAACCTGCAGCAATACAGGCTGTCCTCCTATAGGCTACAAGTCGTCCTTCCCATGGTCAGTGTTTGCTGAAACCAGAACTGTAAGAGCAAGGTCAGGGCACATGGAGACATGGAACCTGAGCTTAGTTTTAGCACCCCAGTTTGTATGAGCCTGCAGCCACCTCTGCCTCTTCAACACTAAGAGGAGGGCTGAACTGGGTTTGCTGCTGTGCCTGCGAGCCTATAAAGTAGGACGTTGGTAGGCAGAGGGTTGGGAAATGGCTGTGGCAAGGCTGTCTGTGAGTCACCCAGGCTGCAGTGAACAGCCCAAACAAATTCATTTATATCATTTATGTCACCAGTCTAGACCCACTGGGCTTTGTGTCTGGCCTATCTGCTCCTTCCTTGTTTGGGGTGAATGGAAGTTTTTATTTCTCCCGAGGAAGTCACAGAGCAATAAGCTGACCTCCAAGGAGCACCTCCACCAGGGAGAAGGTACCTGGCCACTTCTCTAGGACTCTCTGGTCTGTGTCAGCTACAGGATCTTAAGCTCCTCTTCTTTCCCTTTTAACTATCAGAGCCCTCCAGACATTTCCACGTCACACTAGGTGTCCAAAGGGGTCATCTGACTGAGAGTGTTTTGTCCTGCCCCACCGCCCTAGCGTCACTGGCTCTGCAGCTGGCTGCTTTCTGTATGACCCCTGTTTTCTCACCTGTTATGGTTCCTACTGCAAGGGACCCCTAAAATTACTACCATCCCAGAGGAGGCTCATGCATCCTGCACAGGATCCCATGGCCCACAGCAGCCAGAGAGAACTGGTCAGTGTTGTTTCCCTCTACTCGGTCCCCAGCTCCGAGAGCAAAAGGATCCCCAGAGCCTGTGTGGATCTGAGCTTCACTGTCTTCTCTGCCTGCCCTTCCTCAATAGCAAAGTCTAAGATTCAGTTTTTGCTTATTTTGTTGTTGTTGAACCATAAATGGTTTGTAGAGTAAGACTATTAAACAGCTGTATCATCTTAGAACTCATTACAATGTAGACCTAGATATGACATTATGTGTTGAACCCATGGTCTTGGCTTGGGGAGATGGCTCAGTGGATAAAATGCTTGCCTTGCAAGTATGAAGAGCTGAGTTCAAATTCCAAAAACTTGTGTAAAACTGACACAGAACTGTGTGTCTGTAATCCCAGTAATCCTGTGTGGAGATGAGAGGTGGAGACTCACTGGCCAGCTAGTCTAGTGTGCACAGTGGCAAAAAAAAAAAAAAAAAGAAAAAAGAAAAAGAAACAAAACAAAAACAGAGACCCAAAGAAGAGATCCCAAGGAAAGAGCGAGGTGAGAACCCACATCTGAGGTTGCTCTTTAACCCCCACATAGACTGTAACATATGTGTGCCCATACTCAGATGACTGTGCATATGCATACACACATATTGACTTTTTGAAAGAAACATCAAGGTCTCTGTGGAAATGCTATTTCAGGCTTTGAGGGATTTCCTGAGAAACACAAGTACCACTTACAATTAACAACTGCGATGTTTATTCCTCTTGCCACATTCCCGACCTTCTCTCCTAGTAGTCTAAAAAGTGAATGAGAGTCAATCAAGGAGCTCCTACTTAGGCAGGGTGATCAGCCCTCCCTCACTATCAGCCCTCCCTTCCCTGCAGCCCTCCCTCAATAGGCCTGTGCTCAGGGCCGTGGCACCCCCTCTCCTTCCTGCTGTCCCTTCCACAGTATGCAGTGGCTGGTACTGCTCCCCCAAACTACCCCACCTTTTCTCTATACACCTGCAGGATTCAGATTCAGTTCCTGGGTGCCTGGAAACTACGTTTCACCTTAAAATCTGGATCAAAGGCCAGACATGAAGGTTCTGCACCAAGGCTTCTGCAGTGAGGCCCTCTCAGGCCCTAAGAACCCATGCCTGGTCTCACAGTCTTGAGAGAGGATGGCAGGTCTCCTCCACGCTGGGCTTCCTCACATCTCCTTTTTTCTTCGCTCATTCACTTCCTTCCCTACCTCAGGACCTGCAGGCTTTGCCTACCTTTCATCACCCTTTCCCCCACCCACCAGGCCCAGCCCTGCTTATCTCATTAATAAACACGTGATACTGCACCACTTGATTTTTGCTTGTCTTTTGAAAAGATTCTTATTTAATAGGTGTGTAGTCTGTGCACACAAGTGCAGTACTTGAGGAGGCCAGAAGATGGCACAGAATGGAGCTGGAGAGAAAGGCAGCTGAGAGCTGTCTAACGTGAGTGCTAGGAACTGAAGTCAGGTCCTCTGGAAGAGCGGTAAGTGCATTTAACCACTGAAACATCTTTCCAGGCCGTTTTTGCTTGTCAGTTTAAAAAATGAAATGTCAATATCAAATGCAATTTAAATTTACTTTTTGTGTCTGAAACCCAGGAGGAGTAAACTATTTCCTAGAGATGGTAATCGTCATCGGAGGTCATAGGGATAGTGTTTGTGCATGTGTGGGATGTGTGACTTATATGTGGATGTGTGTGGTAGGTCTGTATGTATTCATGTGTATACACATGAGCATAAGTGTGTTATGTGTAGTATGTATACAAGTTGTCTGTGTGCAGATTTCTGCATTTGTGTGTGCATGTATTGTGTCTATTTGCACATGTGTATAAACATGTTTGAACTTGTGTTGTATGATTACAATTATGTGCATATCCTGAACCTCTACTGAGGTTAGCATCAAAAGACCCACTAGCATCATGAAGAGAATCTGCAGTTTGTCCTTCATGACAAAGCTATAAGGTGAGCAACAAGTGCCTCACTATTCTGCCTCTGGCATGCTTAACTGAAGGCCTCCAGGAGCCTCAAGGCTTCGTGCTTTCTAAGCATTGGAAAATAGTCTATGAGTACCCAAAAAGAGGCAAGGAAGGACTTCCACCCTCAGTTGTAAAAACCTGGGTAGCCCTAACCCCCAGAGGAAGTGAGGGATGAGGAGGAAAACATTTTTTTAAAGATTTATTTATTTATTATATATAGTGTTCTGCCCACATGCCAGAAGAGGGCACCAGATCCCACTATAGATGACTGTGAGCCATTATGTGGTTGCTGGGAATTGAACTCACAACATTTGGAAGAGCAGCCAGTGCTCTTAACCTCTGAGCCATCCCTCCAGCCTGAGGAAAACATTTTTAAAAAGATCTGTCGGATAAACCTACTACAATCTGTAAACCTAAAGAAACTAATCAAGAGGGAGGACTCTGGCTAAAATGCTCAATCCCCATCCCGAAAGGCAAACAGGATGGGCATAAGAAGAAGAAAACAGGAAACAAGTTAGGAACCTATCACAGAGGGCCTCTGAAAGGCTCTGCCCTGCAGACTATCAAAGCAGATGTTGAGACTTATGGCCAACTGTTGGGCAGAGTGCATGGAATCTTATGAAAGAAGTGGGAAATAGTAAGATCTGGAGAGGACAGGAGCTCCACAAGGAAGAGCAACAGAACCAAAAAATCTGAGCACAGGGGTCTTTCCTGAGATGCATATCTCCATGCATGGAGATAACCTAGAACCCCTGCACAGATGTAGCCCATGGCAGTTCAGTATCCAAGTGGGTTCCATAGTAATGGGAAGAGGGACTGCCTCTGACATAATCTGATTGGCCTGCTCTTTGATCACCTCCCCCTGATGGGGGAACAGCCTTACCAGGCCACAGAAGAGGACAATGCAGCCACTCCTGATGAGATCTGATAGTCTAGGATCAGAAGGAAGGAGAGAAAGACCTCCCCTATCAGTGGACTTGGGGGGGGGCATGCATGGGGAAGGAGGAGGGAAGATGGGATTAGAAGGGGAGGGGGTTTATGGGAGGATACAAAGTGAATAAAGTGTAATTAATAAAAACTTTTTAAAAATTAAAAAAAAAAGATCTGTCGGGATAAGAGAGAGCCCTGAAATGTTGCCAACAACCAACTGAAGACAGGCCTTGCAGGGTGAATCTAACATTGAAGGAGACCTTTGCCCTGGCAGGAACACTGACTGCTTTCAGAAGGAGGCCTGGAGAAGTGAGCAGTACTCTGATAGCCATGGGGCCTTGGAGACAAAAGTCTGAAGGCAAACTGAGGGCCACACCAAATCTCTCAGATCTTACTGAGTTAGAGTCACAAAGGTTAGGAGAAATTAAACAAAAGCCGGAATTTGTGGACTTTAGCCCACATTTTATTGAACTAGGCAACCCAGAAAATAGTGACATTTATAATGTGTTTGTGTCATCCTGATCTGCCATAGCTCTGAGTCCCTGAAAACAGCAAGTGAGAAAATAACACAGAGACTCCCATCTTGCTGTGTGAGTGCCTCTGGCTTCTGACCATGCAATGTCTGTGTCTGCTCCAGCTATTGTGAAGTCACTTGCTATGCTTTTGACCCTCCTGACCTATGAGACAGAGTTCTTTTCTACCACAAACCATCTAGTTTCTGGTATCCATTACAGTGATGAAAAACTGATTGGTGTGTGTTTATGTGTCTTGCTGCTATTTTTAAAGAAATTCTCATATGTGCTGCCTGGCACACTGTCAGAAGAAGCTGACACAAGGAAAGAAGTCAATAAAAGCAAAAGCCAAACGAGCCAGCAGACAACAGTGGTAGACTCAGAGGCTCCAGCCAGCCAGCTGAACTCTGAGATAACAGCACTTGATGAACTCAAAAAGAGTGGGGAAAACAGAAAATTTCAATTGGAAGGAAGATGAAGAAGAAGAAGAAGAAGAAGAAGAAGAAGAAGAAGAAGAAGAAGAAGAAGAAGAAGAAGAAGAAGAAGAAGAAGAAGAAGAAGGGAAAGGAAAAAGGAAAGGAAAGGAAAAAGGAAAGGAAAGGAAAGGAAAGGAAAGGAAAAGAAGAAAGGAGAAAGGAAAGGAAAGGAAAGGAAAGGAAAGGAAAGGAGAAAGGAAAGGAAAGGAAAGGAAAGGAAAGGAAAGGAAAGGAA